CAGAGACAGTCGAAGCAGTGGGGAGAGCCCCAAGGATGAACATCCATGCCTAGAAAACTCAGGTCAATCAGTCTTGTCAGCAGGAAGTGGACACCTTCCAGATAATTTAGCTCCCAAGCCATCAACCGAAGTACTGACGTTGAAATGGGGCCCCTCTCTATGCTCCTCTTCACAGGCGTGTGCAAAGCATAGTGCTGCGTGCTGCTCCAGCCCAGTCCTCATGTAGACATCCTGCCAACTCAGGGAACCAGAGCTAAGAACAAGCAACCGTTGCAGCCGGCTGCACCCTCTTCAGGGCTTGACAGGCAGGCGTGGATCGCGAGGGGCCATCCCATCCCCTGCCAGACCCCCTGAGTCACCACCCAGCAGAGGAAGCACCCCCATTTCCTGCTTGGAGCTGCAGCTCTCTGCTACGCATGGCTTCAGATCTCCACCCCGGCTAGGGAGCGTGCACGGATGTGTGGGCGCTGCTCAATCCTGCTTGACACCGGATGCAAGACAGTGATTTCATCGGGACTGCCGCCTTGCAGGAAGCGAGCAGCTGTGCTTGAGTTCTAGTGAGGCACCCAAGAGGAACTGCATGGCGCTGAAGGACGGGCTCGAGGCTGGACCGGTCCCTGCCCTGCACATTGCAGGCTTTCAGCTCTCAGCCAGACTGCTGTGGTGGAAGGCTGGAGACTGAAGCCGGAGAGCTGTTTCTAGTCAGGGCTGACCACAGTGAACCCAATCGGTCACTTTTGCTTGGGCACAGAGGGCATCAGCAAGTAAAACTGATGTCCCAGGACACTGCAGAGAGCCCAGGGAGGAGAAATATTGACTGATGTAGCATTGGCCAGGCTGCCACAAGGAATGGGCTTGTGTTTCCAAAAGGGTTACATCCCTGAGGACAACGGTAGCAGGGCGGGAATGGCCAGGGCTACACAGAGGTACCAGGACCAGGTGATAGGACCAGCCCAGCCGACACACTGCTGGTCCCACTGCACTGTGACATGGCTGGGGAGCGGGACACCAAACTAGCAAAGCAATAGCATAGATAGGGCAGAGCGTTGGTCGCTGGCCTCTGCCATTCAGCACCGAAGTTTGGAAGCGTCTCTTGCCACGTGCGCACATCGCATCTGCTCTTGGGGCCACGAGCCGTGGGAAGTGAGCTAGCTGGTGCCGGATATGGTGACGCACAACCACCGAGTTTTGATCACCCCAGGGAAGGAACTGGATTCTTTGCCTGGGTCCCTAACATGTGCCTCTGCATTGCCCTTGCTCTTTCTGTCTGCTGCCCTTCCTGCTCAATAGATACAGTGTCAAAGGTGTCACACTAAAAATACCATCGGTTAGAGGCTAGCATGCACACCTTGGTACGTGGCCAGCTGTCTCCTCAGTCTGCTCTGTGCGTGAACTGAGGGCAGGATGGAGAGAAATTAAGCCCAAACCTGCTTTAGACAATTTGCATTTAGACACAGAGCAGTTCTGAAGCTTTTCTCAAGCTCTGTTACTTTTCAGAAGCCCTGAGTCACAGGAATGGTGAATCTCAAAGCTAAATTACTGCACTGCTTCCAGCCAGACATATATTTATATCTGTATGTGCAGGTATTGCTCCATCAGATACACTAGCAACCAGGTTTTTCTTTCATAGAGTGGCAGGGAAGTGTGAAGACCCAGTGAAAGACCGGAAAGGGTCATCCATCAAAGACCAAAGACAAATGCAGACCTAGTAATGTACAGGATTTCACTCAGGGAGGAAACAATTCAGCAAGGCCCTGCATAAGCCTGGGGCTCTGGTGTAGGAAATAATGTTGCAAGAAAGCCAGGAATGCAGAAAATTTCAGTAAGATGGGAGTATTATTTTAGTTTTAGAACAAAACTGATTTCATTCATTCATGTTTGCTGTCTAACACCTAAAGGGTCCTAGGCCTCAAGAAGCCTGTGTCCAAGGGGTCTGGGCACTTTTCAGGCACCAAGATGTATGTCTCCAATTTGTCTGGCCAGGATTCCTTGCCATGACCTGGAGGAAAAGGGGTGCTGCCTAGAAAGTCGTCCTCATCCTCTCCTGGCTTCTCCTTAGGTTGGTGACCACATGCTGCTTTTGGATAAGCCCTTTTTTCCCCCAGCAGGGATTGATTACTCCATCCTGTCCCACCTCTGCAAGTCACCAGGATTACTCACAGTGCTCTGTCTCCTGGCCGGGATGTCCTGGGAAGCTGCAGGGATCTTGGTGACCTCTTGATTTTGGTGCTATCAACACATGCCAGTGGTAGAGCCCTTTTCCTGCTGTTCGTTCCTTCTGGTGCTTGCAGCCCTAAGACACCCATTTGTGCCTGTTCATAACAACATTTATATTGCAAGTCTCCTCCATGGGGTGATGATTCCTGCAAGGTGTGCAGAGCTGAGCTGTCCTTGTAGGAACTACTGACCACCCCATGCTCTACAATGCACAGCAGAAAACCTGGCTCTTAGGGGATACTCATACTAGACAAGTGACAAGCGGCAGGCAGAAGAGCCAAGAAACGTAGGTGGGGCTTCTCTTCCTTCACTGCGGAGGAATAAGATCTTCTGGACAACGAGGTACCCAGCTACCACACCATGGGATATAGGACTGCTGCATATGAATATGGAATTTTTTCCTGCTCCTCTCCTGGCACAAGAGACTGTGTGTTCCTTCTCTGCAGTAGCACCACACTAGCCTTGCTCTACTGACCTCATTCCTGGTAAGGCTAGGAGTGGTGGTGACACATACTTCCACCTCCGGCTCCAAGCTATCAGGAAGATGTCAGACATCAAGTCTGAGGGACTCAAGTCTGCTCTTGGAGAGAAGAGTAGCTATATCTAAGTGGAGACCTGTCAAAGTACCCCAACCACCAAAAGCACTCTCTCACAACCAGCTGAGCATCCTGTTTGTGGGTCACTGTCTTTGGGTGTTTGAGGTTATTAGCTAGTGGTCTAGTGCTAGGGACCTTGCCATTGGGTGTCGGGGGGGGGGGGGGGGGAGGGGGCCTCCCGTCACCCAACCCTCGAAAAAGGCTAGGATGACAACACCTTTTAAGATAAGAATGTAAGAATGTAGAGTGTGTGAAATTAGATGCACAAAACCCTGGAGGGCATTCACAAGGAAGCCGTCTATCAGTTGGATTAAACAGTAACCCAAGGAGCTTCGAAGAGATTTCTGAAGTAAAGCAGTGAGCCTGAAAAGAAGAATAAAACTGTGCAACAAGGCAGGGAGAGACCATGGAGTAGAAAGAGCTGCAGTGAAAACCTGGTCTGCCGCTGCCAGAAGTTGCCCATCAGCATCACAACCTCTGCCTGGGCCAGGTAGAGCAGCATCCCTGCCAAGTGTCAAGAGGAGTCTGCATACAACGAGCCGGCCATCAGTGCAGGGTGCGAGAAGCAGGGACCCACAGCTGGGGCATTTATGTTACCTTGCGGGGAGGCTTTCTTCTGGTGTGCGGAGCAGCGGGTGGTAGGGAGCACCATGGTTCCCATAAAGGTAGAGCATCCACGTTTCCTGCAGGGGGGATGTGCAAGGAAAAGAACCAGTACGACCAAGGGGGGGGGGGGGGGGGGTACAGGTAACCCACCGGTCCTGTGAGAGGGGTTGTCTGTGCATATGACTGTTTGTGTGTGGTCAGAACTTCTCGGGGTTAGTTATAGATAGGTGCCTAGAAATTTTTTAATTTTAGAAATTAACACAAGTGTCTGGTATTGTAGTTTATCTGTTGCATTACTTCTACTGATCCTGAATGTATGGTTCATTGATCACAGGTTAATTACATGTCATTAATCAAAAATGGTGTGTTCAGTTATCAACTTCAATCCTGATTTAATCAGGCTTCAATCCTGATTTAATCAATCCTGATTTTATTTAAACTGTGTGAATTGAGCAGTTTTTCCCTGCAACAGCCACCATGCTGCTTGTTGGTATAAAAATGTGTTTCTGATCAATGGTGACATACATCCAGAGGGGGAATCTTTTGCACCTGAGATGTCAGACAATGAGACCCAAACAGGTTTCTCCAAAGCCTCTCTGCCTCTTCGAATTGAGCGCACCACCACCCAGGAGGGACACACAGGTCACTGTGAAGCGTGTGGATCCACAGAAACCTAGTGGTAATGGTAGACAGGCTTCTCTAAGGCTCCTGGGACTGATAGGTCACCTCAGTAAGGGAAATAGGAAACTTCCCCTTCCCCATGAATTGCATAAGCACTGCTGCCCTTCTTCTGTGAGCTTGCATCACCACTGGCAAACCTAGGGGCAGTGTTACATAGGTCTGTGCTGGCCCCAAGCCTTAGTATTGCAAGACTCCCTGGTAGTGATGTGAAAATGCCCATTCTGAAGAGCAGTCCTTTCCCTGAGGAGCCAGATGATGCTGGCTGCAGTCTCTGTCCTCAACCTCAAATTTCAGAAGGAATTCTGTCCTCCAGGCCCAGGCCTGGCTGTCCCCTTCTTCTCCTTGGGTATCTCTCCCTCTGTCAAGCTGGCAGACCAGTTTTAGGCCACCAGAGCAAAAGGGAGTCTGTCTCTTACCTCTTACCACACTCTAAAAGAGGGTCCTTCAAAGGAGGAGGTGAGGGAGAGGAAGGGCAGGTTGTTAATGGGAATACCCAGCCTTTTATCCAACAGCCCTTGCATGTATTTACACACTTGTCACTGAGGATCCTGGGTCTCTGGCATTTGTCTTGGTTTGTCACTCATTATTGGGAGACACTTTTTTTCTCTTTTACCCTTTACCATACCAGCTCTCAATCTGACCCATGCAATGTTTATGGCTGCACAACCCTGCAGATACTCTGGAATAACATGTGGAGGACTCAGACAATGTGATGTGAGTATCATCAGCTGCGAACATCTCAACGGTTAGAGCAGCTGATCAGCCTCACTGCAGCATACCCCAAATCAGACTTTCCTCACAAAATAACACTGCTTGCCAGCTGAGCCAGATCTGTGTGAGCTGACCAAAATTTAGTTACCTAAGACTAATTTGCAGTGTAGTTTCTGTTAACAGACAAAATAAACCTGATTTTTTTTTTAATTTTACAACACACAAATACATCATTTTACAATGCAGTAAAAAAAGGACTTAACAAAAGTCTCTCAGAAGAGAAACTCCATTACATACACTTCAGGAGATTAAATATTCCCCTGTCCCTCTGGGAGACCCTGATGGTTTGCTTTCAGCTTGCACGGTGAATGTAAAGGGCTGAGTACTGCTAGCTAGAACTAAGTGAACTTCCCGTTCTCTGCTGGTGCAGAAGAGACAGCAGCTAAAACAGGCAACAGCAGGGCTTCATTGGGCAGGTAAAACCACATGGGGAAGTAGGGGAGCTGCTTTCTGGCTCCGTTCTGCAGACATGTGCTCCAAACGCTCCGTGTAGAATCCATTGAAGTCCAACCTGAGAGACAAAAAAAAGAAGTTCCAGCAGGGTGCTTGTTCAACACCCCCAAATAGAGGGGTACACAACAAGCTGAAAATGCTGCCAAAAGCCTCCGAGAGGTCAGCGCTGCAAGTACTGCAACACACTCGCCCATTGGAGTGCTTTACAGCTCACAGGCAGCATGGGCATCCAAAAATACACAAACTCTTACAGGGCCAGATGAATTTCAGGATAAAGTTTGTCAAAATGAGGGGTTTGAACCAAAGCAAAGCATTTCATGTCAGAGCAGCGGGCTAATGTGGCTACACTGCATCAGGCACCTGAGCTGGGGTCTCCACATGGGACTGCCCCAGGCTGGGTAGACAGACCAGCTTGTTCAGAGTGAGGTTGGGACATTTGTACTGTGCCACGGCATGTTGTCGGTGACATCTCTCCTGCGCTTGTCTCTTGAGTGTCCTCCTGCCATTGCCAGGAAGGATGGGGCTCCCTCAGTACCACTCTGTGTCCCTGCTAGCACACAGCTTTGACAGCTTTGGAGACACAGCTTTGGAGATGTGTAACTCAGGGACAAGCTCAGCCCAGAGCTGAGGGCTGCTAAGTCACTGTACCTTCCTGGCCACATCTACCAAACTGCAAACTTCCCATGCGTGTGGACAAACTGCTAGCAACTCCTGAACAGGAGGGCAGCGCAAGCAACACTTCTGAAGCAGCACATGGCTGCCCAAACCTCTGCGAGCTCTGAAAACCTCCCTAGTAGTACTGGGTAGGGGGATCTGAAGCTATAACTGCTCAGTGCTAACCACAGTAGATACTTCTCCAGTCACTGTGCTCTGGGAGAAAGAGACCTTAGGTGAGCAGGGATATGTCAACCAACACACAGTGTGATATCATGCATGTTGAAACACGCTTCTGAGGGAAGCCTCTCGATACAGACCAAGAGCTACAGCTCTTGGAAGCTGTAAGAGCTACAGCTACAAGGAACAAAACCCTTGAATTAATGCCTGTTGTCCTGCAGACACCGCACCCAACTTTTTTTAATCCCTTGTCTCCGATTGTGCTCATCCGCATATCCTACATAGCATTTGTGGCAGGGGCACTCGGTACAATGGCTCCCTCCCAACAGCAAGATCTCAGTGCACACAGCTTCTCTGACAGACTCGGAGGAGGAGAATGTAAGAATATACATATGGATCAGGCACTTGGAAGGACTGTATGAGTAAGCGGTACCTTTTCCTGAGTGACCAAGCAGTAACCCTACATGTCCATGTTGCCCAAGAAAAGGTATGCTTTCATTTGTCTCCACCTTCCCCCAGACTCCAAAAGCAGTAGCTATGTCTTGAAAAGGCGTGTGGGGCAGTTTCCCTCCTAAATGACCTCTTTAAACATTGAACTCCTGTATCAACATCAGTGTGTAATCCGCCATATCAGTGTAACTATTGCAAAATGCTGCAGTTTCCATTACTACTATCTCCTTGCTAATAGGAGAACACTTCAAACAGATGCACGATTCAAGAAAATAAGTAATTGGTTGCAAGGTGCTCAGCCAAAATCACAAGTACTGCTGATACATTTAAATGCATCTGTAAAGTGGGCAACATCAGCAATATCATAGTCCTATTTCCTCAATAATCCAAAAAATCCTCCATAAAAACACCCACTTCCACTACTGTTGTGGCCTTTCTTAGACAGATCTCTGGACTATGAAGCCAGCTAATAGATGTGCAGTTCTTACAGACAGGTACCCTGCGAACATTCAGCAATGGTAGACGTAAGCCTCTGCATCACGTGAAAGTTACTCTCTTCATTTCTCAAGTAAGTTGTTCCAATGCTAAATGAATGGGTACAATATTTGAGCTTCATGTTGCTTAACAACCTTACACAAATGGCAACAAATTGTTCCTTGACATTTTCTGTGACTGCAGAAAACAGAGCCTCAGCAGATGGAATTTATCTGTTGCTCTCTCCTGGCTGAAAACCTTACATCTCTTTTGTTCTGTAAATGCTGTACAAAGACAACTTGGCACTAAGGCAGGCCTATTTACCAAACTTTGATTCAAACTTTAGGGCTTATAACACCAGGACTCATTTACATCTTTGCTTTGAGGGTCTCCTCCACTTCTAAAGTTGCTTTATGCCAAACTGCTGGAGTTTCTGATTTTGATTTGGCTCCCTTTCAACTTCATTTTTAGGCTCAAACTATCTTTGGTCTTAAGAATTTGTGTGGCGCTTCCTCAAATTCAGCTTAAACTTCAATTTCTTGTTTTGTGGCTGGAACTTTTGCTTGTTAACATTTGCATCACGTCATACGTGCTAGCGGTCTTCCTCTTAGGCTCAGTCATTGCTGTTGCTTCAGACTGGTGGTACAGGAAGGATATGTGATGAATGCTAACAGCACTGATGTGCAACATTTTAGAGTATTTGCAATCACGTCATCCAGCTGACAGTTACAATATTTAAAGAGACATCTGACATTACTGTGCTGTAATTCCTCTCCTTTTCAGTAGTGGGATGTGAAAAAGAGTGACTCTGTAGATTTTCTGCAGTTGCAGACTCTTTGCCATTACCGCTATTGATGAAGACAGGACATCTGAGCAGCACTTCCACATACTGAAGATCTGTGAATTGTGTGCACATTGCTTTGAAGGAAACCCTCTGGATCCCCCTTTTCTACTGTTTAGTGCTACAAACATGATCATTGTGTCTCGGTCACTCAGTAAAAATTCACCAGTACCGTCAACTGAATAAATATTAACCACGATCACATAAAAAAAAGCACAGTATCAGAATTACGAACAAAAGGTATATTTTATCTGTTTTACATTGTGACCATCATATTTGAAATGTAATCATGTAAAGAGGTTATCATATGTAAGAAAAGACCAGCATAACTTACAAATACTTCCATCTCTTTCTCAAATGTGTTATTTCAGATTGTAAGTATCCATCCTGGTTCTTGGGTTCCTGTTGCTATAGAGTCCAAGACTCAATCCAATAATGTCTACAGACTGCATGAGAGCTAAACGTTAGGTCTGGGCATACACCACGGGACTTCTACTTTTTAAAACATTATTGAGCAGCCTGTAGAAATGTGAAGACGTGTTCCCTTGTATGGCCTGTTATCATACAGTATCTCAGTTAAAGAAATGGGGACATTTGCTTTGTTATGAAAGGTTCAGCCATGTCCAGCATCTTGCCGAAGGCTCACGTGGTCCTGGAGGGTCCAAACAGGAGGACTTGAGAGTGATGATAGTCTTGACAGCACAAAGACCCAGACCTCTGCAGCCCATCAGAAGAACTAGGACATGAAAATACTTGGGGGCAAAGGATGGACACCCTGTTCTGAACAGCTGACTGAAGCTTAAGTCACATCCTCAACGTAAACCACCTCCGGAAGCATTTTGTTTTCTCATGTACTGCGTGAATAACCATACTTCTCCTTTCTTCTGAAGCAGGAAGTATTCAACGTAAAAACTAGCTCTCCATTTTTGGGAGAACTGGCTCCACAGCCGCCACAGCTTAGGAGTCACCTCCTGCTAGAGCTAACACTCCTGTGGGTAGCTCCAGCTCATGGCATCAGGGACCCACAGTCTAACAGGATGCACAGCCAGTCTCCATGGTGCAGTATTAGCTTGTCCCACCACCCTGGTGGAAGGATAAACAGTTGACAGAAGAGTGGAGGAAGCAATGATAAAGGGGTAAATCCTTGATGCTAAGTGTAGGAATAGTGCTGGAAAGCAGGCAACAGCTGAGTTATTGCCAGAAATGGCCTTACATTGACGTAATCCCTGGCATTGTGTGCGATAAAGTGTGATATAAGGCTGTGGGACTTCTACTGTCATGGAAAGACTGGTCAAGGACTTGACATTGTTCTGAATTCCTCAGTGAGCTGAGAACCAACTCAAGCCTCAGACCGAGCTGGAAGATCCCACCAATGGGAGGATCTCCACATGTTCTTATAAAGGACCCTGGGGCCATGATGTTCTTCTATTAAGAGTGCAGCCCATTTGGTCTTCAACATTGCACTGGCCATGCCCTGTGCTGCCTGCAACGATGTCCAAGAGGCTAGATCATGGAGGCAGTTGCTATTAAGGTCATCCCAGATGTCTCCTGGAGGAAGCATCACAAAAAAGGCCAGTCTGTTCAGAAGCTTGTATTGGTAATGATAAAAATGTAAGGGCTCAGTAACGAAGGAGACAGAGCTGGAACACTGAGGAGTAAATGCTCTTGCCTGGACAACTCAGTTGTTTGCAGTCTTGATCCCTGAATCTAGCCTGAATCTGGATGCTGCTGTGACACCTCAGAATGATGGCAGTGAGGAGAACACAAGAGTTTACTCCCTTTGGCCAGTTCATCCTTCTACAAATGGATATTCCTTCCATCTACAATAACAGTTCCACTGGTGATCAGTAATGCCCAGGCAGATGGAAGTTAAGGTAAAATACCCAGAAGACCTTGATAAGTTGCATCATCATTTTCTAAAAGGCTCTGCAGACTTAGTTGTTCTGGTTCGTCCCAAAAGGAATAGCAATCACTTGAACAGCTGGGACCTCCCCTCACAGCCACAGAGAAGTCTCTGTAGAGTTTTCAAGATGAAAAGGAGACTTCAGCCTCCGGTCACTTCAGAAGTGGACTGAATCAGGTTTATTGGGAGTAGGGAGGAGGGGTCTTCACCCACCTTCCCATTTCAGGGGCTGAGTATCAACTAGCTTGGGCGGTTCTGGTGGTAGGAAGACAAGCTCTAACCCTGACAGGGGAAAGAAGCAGCAGAGTTCAGAGCAACAAGCAGTCCTGTGCCATTGCATCTCCTTTCAGATGTCTGCAACTACCACTCTCCTCCCTTTCATGACAAATGCAATCCAAAAAAGAAGAAAAACATGTAATTCTTTATATGGGAGTTGGTAGGCTAGACTCCACTCCTGGAAGCACCAATGGTAACAGGAAAGAAAGGTTTCAGTGTTTATCTTTGGTCTCAGTTCTGTGACCACATCTCAGGTAGACTGGTGCCAACCAAGGAGGTC